AAACTATATATATATATATATATATATTTTAAAGTCGCTCACTCGTATGGTACATTTGCTTGTTCAATATTTCAAAATTTTTTTGATGATTCTGTAACAAAGATGGGAAAATTAAATGTTGGTCAGGTGAGATAGTTTGGAAATTAATCCAATTCAAGAGTACTAAGGGGTCAAAAGACAGCAATACAGGCTCATGCACGATTTCCTTGCATGTTTGCTGGGAAGCCAAGTTAAGAACAGCACCACCAGACACCAGTCACCAAACACAAGCTTATCAGCAGCATCGATCACACTCTCAACAGCCAATGAACTGTGGAAGCTGCAAAGATCTAAAACGTGGATATATATGAGGTTATCTACAATGAGATCTTCTGCTTTCGATGTCATTTCCAATGCTAAAATGAGTAACGTTCATGTGGCTCTTATGGCAGTAAATTAGTTGGTTTGGTGGCGTACGGTTCAAGCTGACGCAGATAAGAATAATAATTTCATCAATCAAGTGAATCGTCACTGATAGTATAGCAAAAAGACAATCAACATGTTGTTATTTGTCCATTTCAACTTTGCTATAAAACAACCGTCGCGTTTTGCAACCTGCATTCTCTTAAATTCAGCTTTTGCTATGTATGCCTCAGCCATCAAGCCCTCTACCTAAAGGCCATAACAAAGAGGCCAGGAACAAAAGGAGAGAAAGGAAAATATGATATTGATGAGGCACACATGTTTCATCCTAATAAAATTGACAGCTACATTTATTTTGTGCCCTTCTCCGTTTGAATGGTGGCATAGTAGTTAGACTTAAATATTTGAAACACAGACACATTGACACAATACAAAAACATTATTAATAAAAGACACAAAAATTATGCAGTTTAAAATTAAAAAAAATTATAATTAAACTTAATAAAATTAAATAATTATATTTTATGTTTTTGTATAAAATATGACACGAATATAATATTTTTATAATAAATTCACACGAATTGTCAGGTCTACATGGACCCTTGCATTCAATTGTATTGTACAAACAAGAGAACCCCAATAACATGTGTCTTGCTGGTATAGTAAAATGATCATAATTTTGGATAACCAATTATTTTAAAAGCTTGCATTAATTCACGTTATATCATAATTATGAACCATTTAATAAATACCTAACAAAAATTGAGGAATGGAAGTTGTGTGAAGGAATTACATTGTTTCATAGCTATAAGAATGTTTTATGGTTTAACACAAATGGTTCACTTATCTCCTTTATTTAACGATAGAACTCAACAAAGATGAGTTTTTATTTCTAGTTTGACCCCTAGGCTTTGGCCGTGTACCGTAAATTTTTTTTAAGGTGTGTTTTTAACTTTTCACCTTGGATTAATTTTTTTAACTTTCAAGTCAATTAGGTACGTGCTAGTAGTTTTTTAACATAATTATGCACAATTAACGAATCCAGTTATTCCTAATGTTTTTGACGTCAGTTTGGTGACATTGTTGTTGGATTGATGGGACTTACCTCTTGGGTGTGTTTGCCAAACTGGAGATCTTTTACGACATGAAGAAATGGGGAAAAAGAAACAACGCAAAGGAAGAAAATGAAGTCTAAATTCATTTAGTGACGATCTTCAACATATATATAATTAGTTCTTACATGATTGAGATTTTTTTCTTATAAAAGGACCTTTCTTCAAAGGGGACAAAAGGGATGGAAAGGTAGCGTACCCCAAATCAAAGATGTCAAAATGACTTCGGAAAACAGCGAATTCAAGCCTCCTTCTCCCTGGCAGCTACCTCTAGACCCCCTTTATTTGATGCAAGGTTCTATATTTTCCTACCACATTGCTTCTTTGGTATAACCAAATTCTAAGGGTCGTAAAACGTCACAGCAAATGATGGACAATTTTTTTTAAGGGGAAAGATGTAAACAATTTCTTACTTCCAAAAAAAACAAGTAGAGAAAAATTATTAACTAGGAAAAAGGAAGGATGCGTAATTTTATGTTTTGTTGTTTTGGTTTATTGAAAGGAAGTAGATAAGATTTTATTGCTTCGTGGCTTGCCAAGGGTGATTTTACCTTTTAAAAAGAAAACAAAATGGATGTTGTGGTCACTTTGAGAAAAAAAAAAAGGGGGAAAACATGACCCTTTGGTGTTTTATTCATTCTTTCATATCTCCGATTAATCCATGTCACTTAGGTTTTTTTGTCTTGGGTTTCGGAGCTATGTGGTTCATGGTCATTCAGCAGCGGCACATCTTGCAATCAAGATTCAAGACAAAAAACGCCCATTTTCCATATTTATGTTTCAATTCTATATGTAGTATATTTCCTCTAACAATGGCCAATAACAAATGTGGAGTTTTAAGTGATTTTGCTGCTAACCCTCTTATCTTATCCTTCAACTTTGCCCAATGAACGGCTTCCAATTTTAAAATGGAGAATCAGAGAGAAACTAACAAGTTGTCTACCTCATGAATAAATCTATTTCAGTTACAAAATAATGCAGTCCCTCCAATATTTATGCCATTTGAAGAAATTAATTTTTTTTATTAAGAAAATTTGAACTTTGTTCTTTTAAGATGAAGTACATATATTTATTATCGAGTCAAGTGTTTCGTATGCTCGATTTCTATATTTTTCTCATCTTTAATTCATTGCGGATAATTGGATAACAAAGCATGGCTGCATGTTTCATTTCATATGGAGGCTAACGATTGAACTGAATATGTATAAACAAGTTGATCATATGACTTGGAAGTATGGCCATCTTTCCCGACCAAAAACAGGTTAAAAAAAAAAAACAAAAAAAAAACACAGAGTAGGAATGGGCAGCAAATCAGCATCTCTACCGATCTAACATATATACAAAGATTTCCTGTTAAAATCAAGCTTATTCACTAGCTAAAAGAAAATCAAGAAAAAAACTCTAAGGTAGTGTTTGATATCATTTTCAATATTATCATAATAATTTAATCATGAAAGATTTTATTACTAAAGTGATTTTATCACATGTGATTTAGAATCACTTTATTTGGTTAAGAATCATTAATTTTTAGTAATTAAAAATCACTATATTTGATACTATTAAAAATAAACATTATTTTGGTTGAAAGTATCAAAATAACAATGCACATTATAATAACTATATAATTTAATGATTTCAATATTATTTAAAAATAATCATTTATAAAATATTAGTAATATTTTATTTATTTCTTAATAAAATATAATAAAGCATAATTAAATTATTAAATTAAAAAATATTTATTGAAACTTAAATTAATTTATATAATATAAATTATGTAAAAAAATTGAATTAGAAATAAAATAATTATAAATCAAAATTATATTATTAAAAATAAAAAAATCACACAAATAATTTTTGAACTTGGTTACATTGAATATTATTTAAAAATATAAAAATTTATAATATAAAATAATTACAACTAATTTTGAAAAGAAATAAAATTTTAATTTACGATGAATACTAATTTAAAAAATATTAGTAATATTTATAATTTATAAAACATTATAATATTAGTAAAATATGAAAATATTATAATTACAAATAATAATTTATAAAATATTAGTAATATTTTATTTATTTCATAATAAAATACAGTAAACCATAATTAAATTATTAAGTTAAAAATATATTTATTGAAACTTAATTAATCTTTATAGTATAAATTATGTAAAAAAAATTTTGAATTAGAAAATAAAACTAATTTATTAAAATCAATAAATTATATTATATATTAAAAAATAAAAAATCGCACAAATAATTTTTGAACTTGTTACATTGAATATTAGTTTAAAATTTTAAAAATTTATAATATAAAATAATTACAATTAATTTTGAAAAGAAATAAAATTTTAATTTACATATTAAATAAAAATATTAACTATTATTATTTTTACATATCATTTCATTAATAAAAAATTTAAATACTTTTTGATGAAAATTAAATCACTATTTTACATAAATTATAATAATTTTTAAATAATTATCCCATACCAAATACTACTTAAAATAAAACAAAAACGGAGTCACAAAATTCTCGTGCAACCGTTTCGACCATGTGAAAGTGTGAACCACCGATCCTCCACCCCAACCCTCACGGCCGAATGCCCTTTTTACTAAGAGGCCTGTCCTCTCTTTGCCTTTGGGAGCTTTTTGACGAGTTTGCGTGAAAGGGTAACTTGATCATTGTCGGTCAAAATATTCGATGCTCCTCCACTCTTGGCACGTAGGACACACAAAATCATCAGCTCCACCAATTTGTCACGCGCTTTCCTCAATTTCTTAAACTGATCATGATTATTCTCAAGAAAAAAAAAAAAAACTCAAATTCGTGTTCACTTTCTAACGGTTTCAGTTAGTAAGTTGCAATTGGCTTACTTTGCCATCCTTCTCCATTTAATTAGTAATATACTTCAGGTTTTTTTTTTTTTTTTTAAAATTTCAACACCATGGAATATAATCATCGTTAAATATGATTCTAACATTTCATAAGATTATTACTCTATATATTTACAGTGTGATTTTTAACTTCATAGATTTCAAATATTGCCACATACTTAATTAATTATTATAAAATTTTATTAATTTGATACATATAAACAAATTTCAAATTCGTTAATTTACTTTGATGATTAAAGAAACTAATAATCACGATTCATGTATAATGAATAGGAAGAGATTAATTTTTGTAATTACTATGAATTATTCATGCAACCTATAAAAGTTTTCTGAACATTTCGAGTTAATTATTCTTTTATAAGAAATGGTAGTTAATAAGAAAAATAATGTGGTAAATAAATATACTAGCGACAAAGATTAAACTAAAATATTTATGTCACAATACCACATTAATTATTGTAGCTTTGAACTAAATTTTATAAAAATTCATTAATAGAAGTCTATCATAATAACAGCTTTTCGTAAATAATAAGAGCCTTCCAATTAGAGACAAAGATGATTCCGTCTAACAGGGGTTTTGTCCGAAGAAATCCAATCTCTGTCACTGTCCTTACACATACAAGTGGTGCAATAGGCAATGCTTTAATGTTTGACAAAAGACATCCCTCACGTTTTAGAATGGGCATTCCTGTAATTTTATTATCGTTGTAACGTCTAATGCAAATACAAATTGCCAACGACACTCTCGTTGCTAACGGTTGTAATGTGATGGAGCAACCAGCATGCACTGAAGATGACTTAAACACCTCCAACCTCGAAACTCATCCGAAACACGACTCCAAGCGAGGCGGCACGCGGCATCCTCTCTACCGGGGTGTCCGGAAAAGGCGGTGGGGCAAATGGGTGTCGGAAATTAGAGAGCCACGCAAAAAGTCACGCATTTGGCTAGGCTCATTTCCCGTGCCAGAAATGGCCGCTAAAGCATATGATGTAGCGGTGTTTTGCTTTCGAGGACCAAAAGCGCAGCTAAATTTTCCCGACGAAGTGGAGGATTTACCTAGACCGTCAACGTGTACGGCTAGAGATATTCAAGCTGCCGCAGCAAAGGCGGCGCATTCAGTAGTTTTGTCGAAAAAAAGTCAAGTATCATCCGAAGACGGGAATGGTCATGGTGATGACGATTTTTGGGGCGAAATTGACCTGCCAGAATTGATGAATAGCGGCTGCCAATGGAATTCTTGCGGGTGGACGTTCACCGGAGACTCGTCGTGGCTAGAAGGAGAGGCTCAGCAGCAGCAACAATTCTTGGAATGTCTCTGATGTGTATGCAGCAGGTGGCGTTGTAAAAAAAAAAATCATAAATGTTTCATCAGCTTCCTGTCTTTGCTCTTTATGCATTTATTTTGGCTAAACCCTATACTAGATGCTTTGAGTTTTATGGTATGGCATGCCAATTTGGCAAGACAAGGGGCACCAGGTTCCCAATTAATTCATTGTTCCTTCAATTTGTTGGGCTTGAAATCTAGAGAATTTTGATTATGTTAGAACTTAGAAGATGAAGGGAAGAAGATCCATTTTTTTCTTTCTTCCCCTTAATTTTAATTAAGTGTAAAAGTATTAAGTGAAATCATTTTTAATAAAACAACATTACCAACTACATTTAAAAAATTTATTTAAGTTTGGCCCCATTCAAGTTGGAATTAAAATGAGTTTTTAATAAATTTAAGGCCAAAAAAAGTTTTTTAGAATAGTAATTTGCATTAGTTGTTATTACCATATTACTACCATTTGATTTTTACTTTTTTTTTTTTTAAATAACTCACTTGATTTTTACTAATTCATAAATATGCCCTTATAGGTCTATTTAAATTGTCGTTGGCTCAAATGATTTTTTTTGGGGGGGGGGGGGGGGGAGTGCGTGGGAGTGGGGTTTGTATCTTAAGTGGTTTAAGGCGAAAGTTATACTATTCTCACCAAATAACTAATTCACATTAGGTTTTTTTTTTTTAAAAAAAAAGGTAATTATAGGAGTAATAATTACCTAAAAGCATGCATTTGAATCAAAATCTACCAAATTATTTAGCAATTATTGATCAAGATAAATTACTTTCACAGTTATTAAATTTTAAAGTGTATTATTTTAATTCTTAAATTTAAAAAAGTAACATATTAAATTTTATATTTTAATGGCCGTAATGAAATAATTTTTAAAAAATATATTAATAAATTCGATGATCGAGCCTCTTTAGAGTTGGATATGAATTTCTATGAATATTCTTGAAATGAAAAAATTATCTTAAATCACTATAAAATGATTGGAGTAATTTTAAGGTCAATTTTTAATAATTAAATTTACTTAGTAAAAATTTAAAAATATTTTAAGTTTTGGATAACATAAAATCAAACTGGTACCATCATTTGATAGACGTTATGAAGGTGCTATAACATTCTTCACATGTAATCATATTTTCAGATATGGTTTTAATTTTGTAGACCTAAAATTTACCTTTTAAAGATATCTAAGTTAAGCTTGAGATTTCTCTTTAAAAAGAAACAGATTTACTTAGGCGGTCAATCATACATAAACAAAAAAAAATAGTGGTAACTTCTTAAGTTGTGTCTAACTATAGATCACGGATCTATACATTATGACAACTTGGTGACTCCATTGAAAATAGTTAAGTCAGGCTAGTAAACTCATGTTATCCAAAGCCTTAGTTAAAATTAAAAATTTTTCTTTAAATGTTTTGTCTATTTATAATTGTACCATATTATGTCATTCACTTGTATCTATATAACATAAGCTCTATACCCGAGCTCTGTTCATTAAAAAAGAGTTAATTATCTACGCTTTCGTGAGATTTTATATCTCTGTTTAGGCTAGTGAAATAGTCTCACTCGAATTAAACCTTTTTCGTTTATAGTTTATGATGGGTGTACTAATATGTGATGGATAATGATGTAAGAAATAATTTAGAAACTTTTAGGTTTAACTTAAACCATATGTAGTTAACCTTAAGAAGCCAATCCTAGGTTAGAGCCATGCCCACCCATTGTTTGAATGTAACTCAAGTTAGAACACATGAAGAAACTTTGGTAGTGTCATTTGTATGTGTTTTGTGATAAAAGTTGAAAGAGTTTGAGTTTTATTCATTCTTTTATATATTGTTATGCAGCATTTATATATTTATTCATCCACGCATGATTGAATTTTTATGCATTTAGCATATAATTCATGTATTCATCATTCATACATCATTATGAGACAAACATTAAAATCATGCATCCATTCATGCAGTCACTTATGAATCCATGCATCATTAAATTGTTATGTGAATGCATTTATTTATCTATTCATGCATCATTGAATTGTTATGTATCACATTCAATATGTGCATTCATCTATTCATTCATGCATATAGAAGAATGTTTCTAACAAGTTAGGATGATTCTTGGCATCTAGTAATATATCATCCTAATTATGGTAAAAAGCTTCAAGCATAGTTCAATCTTTGTATCAAGCCAGAATTATGGTAAAAAAACAAGTTCTTTATTTCTAAAAGATGGAAAAGGCACAAGAAGAAATAAAGTGGCAATTAGAAGATGTGGCTGAATTGCTAAAGAATTTAAACAAAGAGAAAACAGTGGCTGAACAGGTTGATAATCTAATATACCTATTTGACTTTGGCATATATTTCAAACAAACATCTTAAAGGGCTCAATATCAAATGTCATGTACGGTAAGCTATCTTTACATGCATACTGACATGCCTGCAACTATTGCTCCTACTCAATTAGCTCATATTCTTGATCCAACTCAAGTTTCTAATCTAGATGATCCAAAAAATCAAAAGAAGCTGAAGATAAACATAGTAAAAACTAAAAAAAGCTTTGAATCTAAACAAAAAATGGAGCTTATTAGAACTTCAAGTTATTGAGAGGATGAATTTTTATGATTCAATGGATGTTGTTTAACTGTGCTTGGTTCTAATGTGGTCATTTCACCCAAGTTTAAATTTCTTGAATTTGAAAAGTACAATGGAACCAAATATCACATAATGTATATCACTATGTATTACCGCAAGATGGTCGTACATGTACGTGATGAAAAATTACTCATCTATATTTTTTAAAATAGCTTTATTAGATCTACTTTAAAATGGTATGTTGAATTAGATAGGTCTCACATCCATGATTGGAAGGAACTAGCTAGGCATTTATCATATAACACAAACATATCATAAATTTAGCTTCAGATCATTTGCCTTTACAAAGCATGAAAAAGAAAGATACTGTAAGCTTTAAAGAATATGCTCAGAGGTGAAGCGACTTTGCTGCCTAAGTTTAACCACCCCTCATTGATAAAGAGACCACGGTTCTATTTGTTAATACTTTCAAAGCCTTATTATGAAATAAGATTGGAAATACCACAAAAAATTTTACTAATATGGTGATTTCTAATAAAATGATAGAAAATACAACTAAAATGGCGAACTTAAAATAAATGATATAAATGATACAAAGAGAGATGATGTGCCAAAGAAAAAGTAAGAAAATGCTCAAGTTGTAATTTATGAGGGGTAACAGACTAAAAGTTTCAAACATGTTAGCCTTATCTGATGTACCTACCGTATTACCCTTTTATAAATAATTTCTCCTAAAATTTTTATCTTTGCCAACCTGTGCAATAGTTAGGCTTTCATGCAAATCCTTGTTCTCAAACAACAGTCACTTAATTTGTTACCCGATCAAGAAGCAAGCTAAAATGTCAAAAAATAATTAAGAGAGAGTTTTAATCCCAATTCTTGACCTCTTGCTTTTACTAATAAAGCACAAATTCCTCACCCATATGCCTTTAAAAACAACCTCAAATCCATCAGTAAGAAATTATGATCTGAATGGTAGATGTGGTTATCACATAGAGGTAATTAGACACTTAATTAAAATATACAAGCAATTAAAAGAGAAAATTAAAGAACTTAGCAATAATGACATTTTGATCATAGAGCTTATGGAACAATGAAAATTTTCTTTATAGTAGTTTTTCTTTTGGATAAATGAAGTATCAAGTAATTTATGAAAAGATTTGAAATTTTTGAGTTTATTCTCTAAGTTTTACTTTGACATATGTATGAGTTTTTGCCTAAATTTTGGTTTCAATTTTGTCTATATATGAATTCGTGCATTATATGTGAAAATAATCTTGAGGGAATTAGTAATTATTGTCAAGAGTAAACATACTTAGTTATAACTAGTTCATACTCAAATTCAGCTGATAATTACACCATTCTAAAGCCTGACTTCCCAAGTCTCACAAACTTGATTTTCACTTGACCGAGAGGGATTTCAATGATAATAATCCTCATTAAGGCTATGAACAATGAAATTTGTAAAATCTTTGTAAGCTAATACATGAGGTACTCTTTTAAATATTCTAAATTTTGAAAATTTTGATAAATATCAAGGCTAGTCTAAAGGCAACCTAACCTGTCCAATTTCTTCCTTGAGATATAATCACTGAAAAGGTCATATCCCTTAATATCCTTATTTCACATCTTGATATATGCAATATCCATTTTGTTTCATTGTGCTAAAATTTTTTTTTGCCTATATTTTGGGGCAAGTTTATCAAAAAATCAAATTATCCAATTTTTTTTAGTATCATTTTCTCTAGATGGCATTGATTTTATCTTTTGGTGTGAGTTGTAAAAATCAAGATTGTTACATAGAGACTTCATTTGATGTAGTAAGATGATATACTATGAGCTTGAGTTGCATAAAAAAAGAAAGATAAAAAAGAATTGATTATAACATTATGCATATGAGATATTCAAATGATTCTAAAATTTTTAAAAAAATATATTCTCATAAGAATTGCTTTCCAATGAAGGTATCCATATCTGATACGATAAATGATCATATTTTATATTTCTTTAAAAAAAAATCTATTTGCTACATTTTTTGAGCTTATTGAATTCTTTTTGGAAGAATCCTAACCAAGGATTACCCTTTACATTGGGGAACAAGTATGAAAGAAGATATATTTGAGAAAGAAATGGATATAAAGTTAAAGGTAAGAACATAATGCCTACAGTTAAAAGGTAAGTTTTCAAAATTTTGGGCTTAATTTGTTTGAATGTGGAAAAATAAAGGTAAAAAAATTAAAAAAAAAGATAAAAATGCATGTTTTAAAAAGTGGAAAGGAAAATTTTATTGAAAAAAAATGATCTTTAGTTTGATTACCCTTAAATACATTTTTAAGCCTATTTATCTTTTCTTTCAAAACCCCAAATCCTAGCCTATGTTACGTCATTTGAAAA